CCGGCGCCATGGCGCAGAGGGCCTTCCCGAACCCCTACGCCGATTATAACAAGTCCCTGGCCGAAGGCTACTTCGATCCCGAAGGGCGGGTGAGTCGGGGGCGCCGCCGCCCGCATCCCCTCCTCCAGCCCAGCCCCGGGGTTTGGCCAGGAGCTTAGCTTTGCCCGCAAGGGAGGCGCATCCCTTTAAAAACAAACACCACGTCTAATGCGGTGATGACGACATGAAATCTATCTCAAATAGATAAAGTGCATGCTAAAATATACGGTTTGAGCCCTCACCTGTGGACTATCTGTAAGGAATCGTTCATATGATGGAAATAACCTCAGTCATTAATATCTTACATTCCAAAACTAGGCGGGCGTGCAGCCTACCGTGCGCTTTTGCACTTTTGATCCTTTTTATGTGCGTTTTAAAGGGAAGTCAACATCCTGGCGGCATTTCACAGGCGCCCTGTGCACTGAAGGAGGGGCAGAGTGATGGTGAGACTGGAGGGTGTGTGGTAAAGGCATCTTCACACCCAAAGCGCTGGGACGGATCTGGGACGCGGGCCTGACATCCTTTGCACCGTTCCCACGCTTTGTAGGACGTTCCCCACAGCCGAAAAGTGCCAGGAAATTAAATTGGTTTGCAGCTCACAAACTACTGTGCAGAAGAGAACCTGCAAATGGGTTGCCGGAGGCCTGGGATTTCTCTTTTTGGGGAAACATAAACTGTGAAGAGAGAATGGAGTTCCCTTTGAGAATACCACCTCAATGAGCCCTGACCGGTTTGGCTCAGTGGATAGAGCGTCGGGCCGACTGAAGGGTCCCAGGTTCAATTCTGGTTGCGAGCACATCCCCAGTAGGGGGTGTGCAGGAGGCAGCTGATCCATGTTTCTAACTCTCTATCCCTCTCCCTTCCTCTCTGTAAAAAATCAATAAAATATATATATATATTTTTAAAAAATACCTAGTTGAGAAATCCTAAGAGTGAGTTAGATTGGATAAGTGCGCGCACACGCACACGCACACGCACACACACACTATATATATATATATATATATATATATACATTTTACCAGTTTCTTTCTTCTAACCTCAGTCATATGAGAGCATTTCACATGTGGTATAATGGCCTTAGATTTTTCATATCTGTCAAGTTAACTCTATGTGGTTCTGTTGATTTGTTCGTTAAAGCACTCATCCGTATAACCTGGGCCAGTGATGCTGGGAGGAGGGAGGTCAGAGATGGACAGGAGGTGTAGGACAGAAGGGTATCAAAGTGTATATGGAGCTAGAGTCAATCTGATTTTTTAAAATATATTTTTATTGATTTCAGAGAGGAAGGAAGAGGGAGAGAGAGATAGAAACATCAGTGATGAGAGAGAATCATTGATTGGCTGCCTCCTGCACACACCCCACTGGGGATCGAGTCTAAAACCCCGTGATGTGGGAATTGAACTTGGGACCCTTCAGTCCGCAGGCCAACACTCTATCCATTGAGCCAAACTGGCTAGGGCAATCTGATTCTTATAAGACCAAAACTGAGCTGCCGAAACAAAGCTGCTTATAATTACCTTGAGGTAGATGGCGTCCTTTTGGCAATTTGGACCTGCATTCTGCCTAGCTCTGCAGATCCTGAAGCTGAAGTATTTGTCTCGTCTTGTTGGAGGAAGACATGCTGTTTCATGACAACTTGGCAAAAAGAACACTTAAGGAAATATACTAATGACACAGACTTCAGAAACATGCAGCTCACTATTTAGGCTACTTATAAATTATGTGCTTTCTCTCCCTTATTTCTAAGGGAGACAAAAAATATCAATAAATTTAAACTCAGGTCCAAAAATATCAATGTAATTTATTACGTAACACATGGTTTTTGGACAAATCCCTAAAAGAAACTAGCATACAAGTTCTAAAAGTGTTTAACATTGAACACCAAGGATGAGATCCTGGAGATCTGTTCGCCTTATTTTGTTAACATACACATGTTAATAAGGAACTGCTCTGTCTCCTGGCCTCTATCAGAAAAATGGGGGGAGGGGCTTTTAGAGACTTTTTCAAATATTGCTAGAGTTTGAATAATTTTGTGGTCTGCCTCAAGTAATCAATATTCTCAGGCAGGTCACCTTTATTAAGAGCAGTTATGTGCCAAATAGAAAGTAACTTCTCTTCCTGAGGCATTCTCGTTATTCTTGGTCCGTTAAAGTAAGGCAAGCAAGATGATCAATTACCCATGATTTATGAACAGAAGATGACATGTTCCCATGTAGATGCGCTCTTCTATCTAGTTGAGGTTTATAGATCTTTTATGTTAATATTGAAATATATTTTACCTTACTAAATGTGTTTTCAAGACTTTTGAAATCTTAACCTCTTGGCAGAAATTGTTAAGTAATGGGAGCATGTCCTTCAAACAATGTGGTTTCTTCAGAGTGTGAAATAAGACATCATCCAGGTGCTTCCGAATAAATAATCCAGAGGTGGTGGATAGTCTGATTTGCCTTATCAGAGATGATTTTCAGAAGCAAAACTTAATATCTTATTAATATTGCCTTCTTTTTTCAGTGTCACAATGTCCTTTTTAGAATATGAGATTATGATGCCAACAGGTAGCAGTTAGGTTTGTTTTTACAATTCTTTTCTTTTTCATTTATTTTTTTTTATAATATATTTTATTGATTTTTTACAGAGAGGAAGGGAGAGAGATAGAGTGCCAGAAACATCTATGAGAGAGAAACATCGATCAGCTGCCTCATGCACATCTCCTACTGGGGATGTGCCTGCAACCCAGGTACATGCCCTTGACCGGAATCGAACCTGTCCGCAAGCCGACGCTCAATCCACTGAGCCAAACTGGTTTCAGCGTTTTTACAATTCTTACATGATGAAATAAAATGTACCCTTGTGATGTTCCCCAACATTGTTTGGAAATTTGACTGCTTTGTGAAATACAAGCCTGGGAATCAGAATCCTAAAATTATTGAGGGACCCATTAAAGTGACCCTTTTTTAATATATATATATTTTATTGATTTTTTTATAGAGAGGAAGGGAGAGAGATAGAGAGTTAGAAACATTGATGAGAGAGAAACATCGATCAGCTGCCTCCTGCACACCCCCCACTGGGGATGTGCCCGCAACCCAGGTACATGCTCTTGACTGGAATCGAACCTGGGACCCTTCAGTCCACAGGCTGACGCTCTATCCACTGAGCCAAACCGGCTTCGGCTAAAGTGACCTTTTAAGATACTTCATGACTCAGTGTATACAGAACTTTTGAAATACTTTTCCGTTGCCTTTAGGACAAATAACATAATGATCCTGTGGTCTCACAGTTTGCCCAGCATCTGTGGGTCTTCATATGGATGTCACTAACCCCAAAGCCCCAGCCTTAGTGAGCTTCAGTCCACCTGCAAATTATTACTTATTATAGACCATGAACTATTAAAAGATGTTTATTTTTATAAATAGATTTTTATAAATATTCTCATTTTTAGAATACAAAACCAATTTCTTTAGGGAATTAACATTGGTGCAGCTTAAATACTAAAAATCCAATGGTTTGAAAACAGCAAACATCTTCTGATTTGTGGTTAATTTAATAAAATGATGTTTATTATAATAAAAATATTAGTTTCACTAATAGACGATTTCTACTAGATAGAAATGACTGTGAGCCAGTTTATCTTTGGCCTATTTCAGTATTTAATTAAAACCTTTATGTAAAACACTGAAGTTACAAGAATACAGTTCACTCTTGAGCAGTGCAGGGGGTTAGTGACACGACCTCCCAAGCAGTCGGAAGTCGGAGTGTAACTGCAGTCAGCCCTCCCCATACTCGATTCCCAACCTCGGAGTTGCCCCTTGAACAACACAGTCAAGTGAAAAAAAAAACACATAAAGGTGGACCTGCACAGTTCAAACCTGTGTGTTCAAGGGTCAACTATATTTCCTGCCTTGAGTAGTACTTTCAAGTTTTGTTTCTTTGTTGTTGTTGTTGTTTAAGAATAAAACATAGTAAGTCCTAACTGTGACTTTAAGCAAACCAATATATAAGGAAACCAATTTCACCAGAGGCTGAGTGATATAAACAAGGGTTAAGTCGCTACAGCATATTTCTGGTCACAAAAACATCACCAAACTTCTAAATAAAGACCCAAACCACTTCTAATACTAAACACTGAAATAATTGTGAGCTATATATACATTAATAAAAAGTCTGATAATTCTTCTCCAACCCACTTAGGTTCAAGGTCGGGGTTCAGGGGAGCCTATCCTGGCAGCACAGGGAGCAGAGCACGAACCCATCCTGGACAGGATACCCTTCCATCCAAGACAGAGCGCGCGCACACACACACACACACACACACACACACAGGGACGATATAGATGCCACTTCCCTCACATGCACGTCTTTGGGATGTTGGAGGAAACAGGAGTTTACAGAGAAAACTCACACAGACGTGGGGAGAACATGCAAACCACACAGACTGGACCTAACAGGAATCGATTTTTTTTCCCTTATCAATGTTCCAATGAAATAACATTGAATGATGACCTGCTGTAATTGTCCAGTTCTCCCAGGCAGAAAAAATGTGGCCTAAGTGGAAATAAAGTACCCTCCTATTTTTGATAGCTACAGTGCAAGAAGTCAAGTGGCCCATTTATTGTGATGTTTGTTTTCCTCTTCATGTCTACAGCTGACTCCTGAGTTCTCACAGCGCTTGAACAATAAGATTCGCGAGCTTCTGCAGCAAATGGAGAGAGGCCTGAAGTCAGCAGACCAGCGGGATGGCACCGCTTACACTGGCTGGACAGGTACGAGGTGCTGACCGTGAGCTGGTGTAAGCATTGCAAGAGGGAGCCAAAGCATTACCTGTCTAGAGCAGTCAGACTCATCTGCGTGTGAGTGACCGCTGTGCTCTCAGCCTGGCCATGGCATCTTGTGGATTCTTCACAGTGCTCTGCACTTAGGAAAGGATATGCATATTCATGAAATTCAGGCCTGCCACAAAAGTAGATGGCTGCTGAACTTGTGAAGAGACAAATTGATGTTCAGCATTACATAGTTAATTTGGAGATGAAATTTCAGTGGGAAGAGTCCCACAATACTGTGTGAAGTGGAGGTAAGGAGAATTTATCTACAGGAAGTAAAACATGTCCAGAAGCACTTTCATAAAAATTGCATGTAACAGGGAGCCATACAGAACACAGGGTAAAGCATAGATTCTGTGGACTAATCCTTCCATATAGTCTTTGCTGCTTGGTTTGCATTCATGGATTTACCCATCATTGAGAGGTTGGAGAAAATTTGGGAAGGAATGGCAGATATGTGTCAAAAAGGTAAGAGAGAGAAACCAATGCAGGAAAGTTGAAGAACTGAAATTAGTCTACTAATGTGGAGAAACAGAAAGACTTTTATAATCTGTTTTATAATCTTGAAGAAAGCACAGTTCCATGACTCACCATTTCCCAGTTACTTATATACCATATATATAATCTTTCAGGGACATTGAAGGTCATCCTATATAATAAAAGGCTAATATGCAAATCAACCCAAAGGTGGAATGACCAGTTGCTATGATGCACACTGACCACCAGGGAGCAGATGCTTGACACAGGAGCTGCCCCCTGGTGGTCAGTGCACTCCTACAGGAGGAGCACTGCTCAGCCCAGAGCCAGGCTTGCCTCACAGCAGTCGGACATCCCCCAAGGGCTCCCGGACTATGAGAGGGCCCAGGCCAGACTGAGGGACCCCCTCCCCCCTCCTTAATGCACAAATTTCGTGCACCGAGCCTCTAGTATCTTATAAAATAAGTGGAATGCATGGGCCCTCCTCCCTCTTACAGTTTTGTTTTATGACTTATGATTTTTGTGGATTTTAGAAGCTTAACACAAGGAATGTTAAGATGAGAATAAAATGAAAGTATTGCTTCAAAATGGAAGTTATAACAGTTGTCATTTATTCAGTATCTGCTGTGTTGTCAATATGCCATAATTGGTAGTTAATCTCATTAATAAACACTACTATTCATTTTAAATTATGAGGATTTACAAAACAGGACAAGTACAATGCAGTGGTTGAGCATTAGCAAATGGTTACTGTACATTAATATTCAAAAACAAGAATTCAGTACTTTAATAATAAAACATAATGAATAAATTTAGGTTCCCAAAGGAATGAGGATCATCAACATGCAGTTTTGTGATCATTTGAATGTTGAAGGACAAGAGTAAAGATTAAAATACGATTCTTGTTAATGAAATGTTACTAGGATTGACATTTGAATGACAGAAGCCGGAGACTGTGTACGTGTATGCCAATAACTAACGTTACAGGCTAGGCACCATCTAAGTGCTTTGCACTAATTAACTAACTTAAGTCTCAGAAGAACTCCATGGCATGGATACTATTCGTAGCCCCATTTCACAGATGAGAAAGGTGAAGCAGAGCGAGATTGCATATCTGTTCATGGTTACAAAGCTAGAAAGTGACAAAGTTAGGATGCAGCCCAGCAAGCCTGGCTTTAGAGCTCCTGCTCTTTACCAAGAGAGATGTCTACAGAGAGAATGAAAATGTGTGTGTGTGTGTGTGTGTGTGTTTACTACACTTTTACATTTGAGTTTACAGCATTTTATAAGTGAGGTGAAGATCTGTACATAAGCTCTCAGGTGAAGTAATTTAAGCAATCACAACACAATGATACTCGTGTACAAACTTTTTAGAAATGGCTAATGACTAGTCGGTTTTAAGTGTTATAGAAAACCATAAGCCCTAATAAAACATTAAAGAAATTTGGAAAGAAAGGAATTTGGAAATGGCTTGTTAGACAGGCAAGAGTACTTCCTATTTAAAGTCTGTAAGAGGAAGTTATTAGGGATCAGACATAAAGTAAACCCTGGAAGAATTATGGGCATTTGCAGATGGAAAAATGAGATCTCCATTGTGGTTCTATAGATGGTGTTTTCCTCCCTAATCCTGAATTAACATATTAGCATGGTTAGAAAATTAACTGAGCCAAAACAGAAGCTTTTCCTTGTAATTGCTTGTATTTGAAAAGGCTTGCTGGGGATCTTATGTGAAATATCACCCAAGTCTGAAATCAAACTTGCAATAAACAGCTTCAGTTCTTATCACCAAAAGCCTCCTTTATAAAACGAGTATATTGAAGTGTAATGCATCATGATATTGATATATGACATATGCCAGCAATAAACATTTTGTTCATTTTTTAGCCTTACTCCTCTTCTGGTAGATTATCAAAAGTTCTTTATAGTACATGCTCCTAGTTTTGGAAGCAAGGGAAGCATTTGGATTCTCTAGGTGCCCCATCAAGAACTATTCTATACATCTGTGCACATAACAGACAGTGCAGAAAACTAGCAGGCAAGGAGGCCCCTGCAGGTCAAGCCTGATGGCCAGCTACGGCGTGGTCCTAGGTGGTGTCCAGGGATCTGTGGGGAATCACTACAGAGCATAACACCCCTGCATTAGGCTGTTCTGGATTTTGTTCCAGCTTGATTGTAGGTTCTAAGGGGCGAAGGCTTTAAAGTTCCTTATAAAATGGAAAGCACAAAACACTGGTGAGAAATTAAATGAGTAGATGAAGTATTTTTGTGTTAGAAATAAACATTTAGTATAAAAGATTCCTTTCAGGTAACATGGTAAAAAGGTTAAGTAAACCCAAGGGATGGCTAATCTCACTAGTGTCTTTAAGAGAGAATGAGGGAAAGTGCTAGCCTTCATTTAATTTCATTTTTCTCTCTCTTAACTGTGATGATTCCTAAGGGAAATGATAATCAACTCACACTTTGAGGGGAAAAAATGCACACAGGACTCTAGAGGCTTTAGTTCTAAAAGACATGACCGAATTTTCTGTAACCAACTCACAGTGTTAATGAGGCTAAGATCGGCATATAGTTTCTCTTTTCAAGTATTAGATAGCATTTTAAATAAGAGGATATGCAGCACAATCCCAGGAGTAATATGAACTTGCGCTCTAAATGTAAGTCATTAAAGTATTTCAAGATGCTGTGCCTCTGATCTGCCAAATGTACAGCCTTTGAGCTGCAGCTTGAGCATGTGGTCTTAGTTTCTGCCGATAGCATTTATTTGAAAGGAATCGCTCTGGCCAGGTGTCTTTTCTGTGCAATTTGATCTCCTTATTAAGTAGCTCTACATCAGAGCCAGCATTTCAGTGTGTAATCTGAGCCCTGAACAAGTGTCCTTCACCTTCATGAGCCCCTGTGTCTCCCAGCAGGAGCTGGTAGGACACGAAGGGATCCAGGGTGTGGATCTACACTGGGTCTCTTAGAGCCCTTCACAGTGACCTCTAGATAGGTAAGTGCATCGACAGTGCTGCCTGCTTTCTTTCTGCCTGCGCTTTATTTGGTATTGATGTTATCTTAAATTGCGAAGACACAGGCTGGAACAACTGGAAGGGTAGGATATCACCAGTGTGCTAGGGCGAGGCACAGAGAGCAGGATGAGTGTTTGTAGATTGACTAGAAGAAATGGCAGGAAGGAAAGAATGAAGACATATCTAAGCAATTCGATTTTTACATACCAAAGAGACTGGGGCTGTGTCTTGTCATTTTCATTCCAGTTACTTCAGCACTTAACACAGTGGGCTAGGTCTATAGTTGGTGCTTAATAAATACATGTCGAATGGATGGGTGAATGGATGGATGGATGGATGGATGGATGGATGGATGGATGGATGGAGAGTGCTCTGCCAGTACGATTCTTGATACCATTTATGCAAACTGAAAACAGTACCTTAAAACTAGGTGGAATAGGCAAAGGATGGGAATTCAATGCAGTTCTTATATT